GACCACCAGGGGGGAGATGTTGCCTCAACCCAATTCAGCAGCATTGGGGGCAGTAAAGGACACTTTTTTAAGGGAAAGGGGGGGGTCGAGTTCCCTAACTAAGAGCACACAGGTGGGCCTTTCTAAGCCCCAGGGGGACGTCCTTTTTTTCCTTTGGGCCCATAAAAAAAAAAATTTTTCCACAAGGCAAACACACTCCACACACACAAAGACAATCCACACGACTTCCCTCCGTCACCTGCCTTCACCTCCAATTAGTCTTCCCTCCATAAAACGGCAGCTCAACTCCCAGTGCTCCCATCCCCCATGTCCCCCCATATTCCTCAGCCCCCACCCCATGCCCATCTTTCAGAACATCAGCCTCATAGTTTCCAATAATCTTTATTGAATTTGCTCAGCATCCTACACATGTCTGGAGGAGCCAGGGTGAGGCTTTGTGCCCACGGCCCACAGGGAAGACCCTAGCAGGCAGGCCCCCACCGCATCTGAGGAGCCCTCATTTCTTCCGGGGTTGCTTGTCGGGGAAGCCCTCGAAAAAGTCGTTGCACATCATGGCGATGCAGGCAAGGAAGACAGAGTACTCCTGGAAGTCCACCTCGTTGTCCTTGTTGTTGTCCAAATTGCTCATCAGCTTCTGCAATGCTGCTTCATCTGTCTTTTTCTGCGGGGGGAAGAGGCTACAGGTAGACACCAGCGGTCCAGGGGACAGAGCCATGACTAGACCAGGTTTCCACCTGCAGGTGGGGCTTAAGAGGGCACAACCACTCCTAGGGGGCCAGCTTTGGAACTCCGACCCTCACGGCTAAGCTCGGCTGGGGGGTGGGTTACCCGCAGGTGAGGAAATCTGAGTGCCAGGATGCAACTGGAAAAGAGGACCACGTCTTCCCCTAAGGACTTTTTAAGAGTCCAAGTAGACAATGGTCATGAAAGCCATAGATAAACTGCATCAAGTTTGATACGGATGGGAGCTGTGACTGATCAGGGGAAATAGGTGTGTGAGTGTCTCCATAACTGTGTCTTCACATCTAAAAGCCTAATAGAAACTCAGAAATAGTTTGTTTGTTTGTTTGTTTTTCTTGGGGTTTTTTTTTTTGGTGCACCAGAAGTACTGCAATACCGGGTCAATGCGTGGAGTGGACGGAGCAAGCTCTTATTTCTACTCCCTGCTCCAAAAATCCATTTAATATATTGTCCTCGGATAGAGGACGTATCAGGTATTAAACTGATAAGAACAGATACTACACTTGATCTTAGCCAAAAGGCCGAGAAGTGACCAAAAATTGTTTTTACTGGAGTGATGGTGGGCCGTCCTGGTCCATCGATCTCAGCTTTGCACACTGACTACCTGGGGACGTTCCTTAGCCTCTCTGAGCGTTTTAGTTGCCGCACTTCAACTAAGTTGCCTAAAGCCCCTGGCCCGTTATCTGGCCTGTAACCTACCTGCTCATTCTCAGCCACCTTTGTGCTGGGCGCCAGGATGTGAGTGGTGAGTGCTCACTCTAATTCCAACCCAGGCAACCAGAGCGAGCGGCCCCAGCCGGTGACAGATGCCAGTGCAGGAGCCACTGCTCTGCAGAAAGACTGGTGCCTCCCGGGCCCTAACCCCTCCCCTGTGGGGAACGCCCCAGAGAGGGACTCACTCCCAGGCAGTAGTCACTCACCCCCAAGAAGCTGGGTAGCTCCCGGGTCAGCAGCTCCTTTAGCTCAGACTTGTTGAGCTTGAACTTGTCACCCTCCTTGCCGGAGTACTTGTGGAAGGTGGACACCATCGCATCCAGGGCCTTTTCCAGGGGGGAAGTCATGGTGGCGGTCGAGATCTGGGGGCGGGGGTCACAGAGGCACCCTTATTTTCCCCACCCTTCCCCAGCCATGTGATTAGAATGCCCCACCCCACTCCCATCAACTCAAGGAGCACTGGGTGACATTCTGCGCCCACCACGCCCACCACGAGGGAAGCCCAGAAAGGTGGGGCTCAGCTCCTGGCACGGAGGGTGTGCACAGTGGGAAATGTGAGCTTGGGCGGCAATCGCTTGCAGGGCCCACTGCGCAGACTCTGAACTTGAGGCAGCAAGCTCCCAGGGCCTCACTGCGTCCATTCAGTCCCACAGCTCAGCCCACAGCAGCCCGCCCAGCTCATTCTTCTCCCTCCCTGTGTTGGGCGAGGCTGCTGGAGGCCTGCCCAGGAGTCTGTAGCGGAAAACACCAGCGGTCTAGCATAGGGAGGGGCAGAGTGAAGTGGCAGAGGCAGGGATGCAGGGGAGGCCAAGCTCCCTTGGGCTGGGCTGCTGGGTGCTGGGCAGAGGCTCAGGGACACTGCCAGACAAAAGCCCAGGGTTGCCTTTTGCCTTCATTTTGCTTCCCACCCCAGAGCATGCACACACAGGCTTGTGCCAGCCAGCAAACATAAGCAATGTACACACCCACAGGTCACACGCACACCAAGCATACCACAGCAATAAAACATACTATCGCTCCAACCCGGCCACCTTTCTCTTTGTTTTCCTTCTCTTGCACATGTACAGGCGCGCACACACGCGTCCCACCCCCGAGCCTCTACATTGGAATCTCATATATGCACCCATTTAGCACATCTGGGCCCCACCAGCCCCCCTGGTTCCTGCCCTGAGCCTCAGCCTGACATCCCTTGCATGCCAGTCAGGTAACCACAACTCACCAGTTGAAGAGAGGGGAAGCACTGAAGAGAGAAGTTTGGGGAGACAGGAAGAGTGGGGAGAGCCCAGCGGTCTGACCTATTTATACCCCGGCCAGGCCCTGCCCATGCAGGATGGGGGAGAGAGGGAGTCAGCCCTCCCGCCTGGGCCAATGTGGTGCGAGCCAGGGCCCCCTCCAATAGCCCAGCCTGGAAGCACCACTCCCTGCCCTGAGGAGCCAAAGATAGACAATGTGAGAGGCCCCGTGAGCACAGGCAAGGGGCCTCAGTGAGGTGGGTACCACCCCACCTCCCCACCCTCCCCCCCCTCGTGTACACGGCCTGAGTTTTAGGGACCTGGAGGAAGGGGCAGTCTATGCCTGGGGCATGGGGGACAGGGAGCAGGTGGTCCCATCCAGCAGCTAGGAAAGGGGATACAGGTGTGGTGGGTGGCGGCTGGGAAATTGCCCTAAAAATGTGACTGCCCAGGAACTCAGGGAGGGGACCCCAGGCTCAAAGCTTGGGACAGCTCACTCTGTCTTTCTCCCCTCCCCAAAGGACTCTCTGCTACGCTGAGTGAGACCCCAGGCAGGACCTAGAGGTCCGGGAGAAGGGACAGGCTAACACCCAAAGGAGGCGCTGGGACCCCCCAAGCTTCTCCGTGGAGAAGGGTCCTGGGTGAGGTAGTGATGGACTAGGGAGTGGGAGTCAGGCTGGGAGTTCAGGGATGGACTGAAGGCACCAGGAGCAGGTGGGGCGGGGAGGGCCTCAGGAGGAGAGTTTAGAGCTGGGTGGGTGTCAGGAGTGAAGAATGGGGTGGCAAATTAGAGGTGAAATGGCACAAAGAGATGAAGGGTCACGGTTAGCCCCTCAGAGTGAGGTATGAATTCAGGGGTTAAGTGAGGGTCACAAGTGGGGGGTTAAGACCCTCAGGTGGCTGTGACTTCAGGGATGGGGTCTGCCTCAAGGTCTCCCCTTCCCCTCCAATGCAAGGAAGCCCTCCCTGGCTTGGACAACACCCTAATCGGACCTCTGGCACCCTAATCCTATTAGTGCTGCTCTCTGGGCTCCCACAGCCCCAGGCAGGGAACAAACCAGCCCCACCCCCCAGCTCCACCCTCACTCAGAACATCCTGTCCCGAGGACTGAGATCCATGGGGACTTCAGCTGCCCTCTCGCCCTCTTCAATAGCCCAAGGGGGAGAGAGACCCCCCTTCCCCAGCCTCCCTTGAACATCATCCTTGTGTAGATCCCCACCCCCTCCTGCAGGACGGTGGAGACCATTTTGTTTCTGCAGGGTCTGAAACTGCCCTCGGCCTCCTGTTCAATGGAAAAAGCCAGAGAGGAGCAAAGACGTCAATGGATTCTGCCCTAAGGCCCTCGCTGTCCTCTTAAAAGAACCAAACCAAGCCAAGCGACACCAGTTCTTTATTAGGAGTTAAGCAGGCCTGTTCCTGTTGTGGTTTCATTCATGCACACACTCTGCCGGGCCTGGACAGCCTCAGAGCAGATCCCCACCTCCGCCCATCGGGGGCCTCTGTGGGGAGGCAGCGGGTGGCTGCTCTACATATCACCCGCTGTGGTCCTGGGACAGGTCCCTTCATGTGCCCACCACCGTGAGCAAAATGGGTTAAGCTATCAGGGGCAATGCTAGGGGTCTCCTGATGGAGAGGGTGCAGGAGAGAGGGGAGGAGTGTGTGGGGGTCATGCCCAGGGCCACCTCAGCGCAGAGATGGAGCAGATCAGAGCAGACCTTTGGGGGCAGCGCTGGAGCAGAGGCTACTGGGAGCAGGGGGGCTCCGGGGGACAGTCCTTGAAGTAGTCATGGCAGTAGGTGCAGAGGCAGGCAAGGGAGCGCACATACTCCACAAAGTCCACCTCGCAATCCTTGTTGGTGTCCAGGAGACTCATGAATTTATTGTAGTCACACTCCCGCAACTCCGTCTGTGGGGGGAATGGGTGGGGTTGACGGGGGGCAGGTCAAGAGGGCAAAACACCTTACACACACACACACACACACACACACACACACTGCTTCCCTCCCCCAACTCCTGGATGATCCCATTCCAACCCACAGCCCTTCTGAGAGCCAATCTCAGCCCACCTGCCCTGAGAACGCACCATCCCAATGCCCCTCCCAAACCCTCCTTCTCAGCCATTTACTGAGCCCCTGCTAGTGCTGCTGAGTGCCTCTGTGTGTTAGGCGTTCTTCACAGTGCCCACTCCACCCTCCCAGCAGCAGGTGTGATGAGGAAACAGATTCCTGTCATGTCAGTTCCCTCCCCAGCACCCGCTCCCCAGCATCCTCTCCCCCGTCTAGCCTCCCTGCCCTCTTGCTGTCCGATGCTCAGAGCTTGTCCAGGCGGTGCTTCCCGGAAGCGCTCACCGGCATCCAGGTGGGCAGCTCCTTCTGCAGCAGCTCCTTGAGCTCTGCCTGGCAGAGCTTGTGTTTGTCCCCGCAGCGCCCCGCATATTCCTGGAAGGTGCACACGATGGCAGCCACCGCCTGCTCCAGAGGCCGAGCCATCCTCACTGTCACAGAAGAAGCAGAGGCCTGGGTCACCGCCCTGCACTCGGCCCTCCAGGCTTCCATGACTGCTTCCAGACCTGTCTTCATCTCCGCCAGGTTTCTCGCCCCACAAGCCCTCCTTCTCTAAGCAGCTCTCCTGACCACACCAGTGCCACCTACTGTACGCCCCCAACAGAGGTCTCATTTCTCCAGCATCTCAGCAAACCCCACAGGAACTCCCTACCGACTTCCTGATTCTCTTCAACTATTCGCATTCTGGACACCCAGGAAGGACTCATCCCACTTGGCTCCACCCGAGGACATACAGCCCTTGGCCCTAGAAGCCTCTTCCCCTTCAAGACCCCAGAGCTTCCGTGGAAACTTGCTCAAAGAGACCCTGCCCGTGCTCCCTGTCCTCGGCCCTTGGAGAAGCTGGGCGTTCTTAGGAAGGGTGGACTCTGAGAGGGACCCCCATTGCCTCACCATCCCTCTCCATCCCTCCTCCCTGACTCAGGGAAGCTGCATCCAAAGGAAATGCTTCTGGGATCCTCTCTGCCTCTCACCCTGGATGAGCCATTTGCCTGTTTGGATCTCAGGTGCCTAATCTGTAAAGTGGGGTCAATCTTACTCACAGGCCTAAACAGGAAGCCGGCTCAGGTGTTTACCTATCTTTAATCTTCTCCATCTGAGACCATCCCCCTGGCTCGAAGTGGTCTTGAGACTCAAGGCTCTACATAGGGGTACCTTGTTCTGTTAAAAAGGAAGCCCTGCCCTCGCCGGTTTGGCTCAGTGGATAGAGCATCGACCTATGGACTGAAGGGGCCCGGGTGAAGGGTACATGCCTGGGTGGTGGACTCAATCCCCAGTGTGGGGCATGCAGGAGGCAGCCAATCAATGCTTGTCTCTCATCATTGATGTTTCTCCCTCCCTCTCCCTTCCTTTCTCTGATGGATAGATAGATAGATAGATAGATAGATAGATAGATAGATAGATAGATAGATAGATACATAGATACATAGATACATAGATACATAGATACATAGATACATAGATTTTTTTTAAAGGAAAGCCCTTCCTGGAATTCCCCCCCGCCCGCACCCCCCCCCCGAAATTCCACTGGCCCCTTTCACTGCCCTCTGGGGTGCACCTCCAGCCTGGTGAAACCATAAGGCAGCCAGGAAGGCAAGTGTTGTTTTCATGTGAGCCCAATGACTCACCCCTGGTTCCCCCGGGGGACAGGAGTCTTGCAACACTAGAGAGCCAGTGCCAAGCCTCTCCCCCAATGACTCCCCCTCTGCTGGGCCCTATGGTGCCAATGGCCAGCACATGATGTGTGGCTGTGGCGGGGGGGGGAGGGGGGGAGGAAGGGGGTGATGGGGCTATGCACCCCCAAAGGTCCAACTCTTTGAGACAACCCAGGATTGGAGTGTCTGGGTTCCCAGGAGAGGAAAAGGCTATGGTCCCAGGGAGAAGGGAACCTCAGGGGTGCTGGGCTGCCCTTCTGGGCTTCTGCCAGCCTGCCTGGCGCCACCCCTGTTTTTCCAGAAGCTTGGTGCCTGGAAACTGGAGGGAATCCTCTCTTCCACACGCAGCCTGGCCTGTCTCAACCCATTGGTAGGAAGAAGGCAGGAGGAGGGAGCTCACTGAGGGTAGCACCAGTGCTTTTAGCTGAATGCCCCCGCCCCAAGGCCAGACCTCAGCTCTGCACACCCCCTGACCCAAACTTCCCAACAGCCCTTCACTGTACAGGGAAACCCCGAGTCCACTAACCCTGACTTCCCGCGCCTCATGAGACCCTGCTCTGGTTGTCCCGCCAGCCCCAATCCAGGACCCCAGGCCAGAAGACAGACCCCGAGCTACCCCACGCCCGATGCAGAGCAGGACTCAGCTGGCACTTACCGCTGGTGCTGGTGTTTCCACTGTAGGAGCCTATAGGCCGCACGCCCCTATTTGTAGTCTGCCAAGGAAGGAAGCAATTACAGGGGAGCCCAAGTGGGTCAAGCTGAGGGTGCCCTTGGGGGCTCCCCTGCCTCCTTCCATAGCAGCCCCTATTACAGGCCCATCCACCCACCTATCCACGCACACATCAAAGGCCCCGTCTGGGCCTCAGACACCACCCACCTTCATTCCCCCTCTGCCCTCCCCCAGAGCTGGGAACTGGGGACAGCCTCCAGCCCATCTCCTGTTGTTGGAGGAGACAGGCTGGGCTTGTCCAGCACATCCATCCCCTATTCTTCCCTCTGAACAGGCACCACAGAATACCAAGTGGGAAGACACTCCAGCCTGGAGTAAGTTTGTCGCCCCAGAGGACCCCTGTGCCAGAGGAGATCTCGGAGCACCTCACCTTCACTTATAGGTGAGAAGATGAAGGTATGGGACACCCCTCCCCCCCACCCCCCTTGTCTCCCCCCCCCCCCCATCTCCAGATTGCTTTGAGTTTGGAAAGAACATCTGTAGGATGTGTCAGGGAGGAAAATTTTTTATTTTACCCTTCTAGGCCCTTTGGCTGGTCTAGTAATCAAATTAACATAAGACAGATTAGCAGGAGAAAAAAATTTAACTTTGTACAGGAGGTCAGGCAAGTGGGACTCATATGCTATTATGAACTAAGAACGAGGGGTTAGGCTCTCAGACTTCAAAGGCGAGAAAGACAATACACATGGAGATGGAAAAACAAATAGCTGCTGGGTCAGAAAGAGAGGATGGGACACAGAGAGGACTCTGTCTCCCAGCCCTACTGAGTCTCCTCTCCCAATCTACCCACATTCTTCACAAACCCTTCTGCTGATAATGCTCTTCCTGGCCAGGCCCTTTATCTAAATTCTTTTAGGTGGCTAAAACGGACGAGAAAGCTCTTCCTGAGACTTTTGAACCTTGGTTGTCTTCAGCTCAAATAATCCACATGCCAGGGTGGCCCATGGTGGGGTACTCATTCCGAACCCCTACAGATGAGGCACAGGAGGAAGGGGTGTTGCTCACAGGGGCACTTGCAGCAGTCCGGGCTGAGTTCTCGCGCCTGCATGGGCGCGCACACACACATGTCGAGAGCCAGAGCGCTGTGAGTGACTGTGGACTGCAGACTCCTGCGTGGGCTGCCTGCGGCTAGAGCTCCTTAAGCCTATTTCCTGTCTTCCCCAGCTCCATTCAGCACCACCTTTTCTCCAGACCCATGAGGTGGGGTGGATTTCCTCTGGCTTTTAGCTGAAACACGTAGCCCCCTGGCTCGCTAGAGCCCCAGCAGGATGGAGAGGTGTCTCCCTTGTCTCCGCTCCTAGAGGGAGGCCTGTGCTTTATCTCTGTCTCCTTCCCTCCACAAACCATCAAAACCAAAGGCTATTTTGGCACAGTTTGGCCAGTGCCTCCAGGGAACAAGAGGCCCTGGTGCTCGGCTGGCTTCCTGGAGTCTGTTTTCACTTAGATTTTTATTTCTTCATTCCTTACTGCCTTGTCAGCGCTTAAATACTTGAAAAAGATTTTTTTTTTATTCTATGCAGCCCTTTTTTGTTGTTTTAAGCTGGAGCAGGCACCGATGACCATATCACCAGAACCCCCCCCCCCCCCGCCGAAGGGGGTCAGAACGGGTCTCCCCAACATGTGCCACTGGGCCATGTGAAATATTTTGAATCGAGACCCTGTGGGTTCACAAGAAACGTTTGCCTCTCCCTTAAAGAATTTAAATTAGGGGCTTTGTCCATAATAAGAGTTTTATCTCCAGAAATGACTTGTATGACCTACCTGTATAGCAGGGTAAACATCTAATTACTGAACACCTGCTCTGCTCATCATCCTGCCAATAACCCTCCCTTCTGAAGCCCCAGGCTCCTGACCTCATCCTTAGCTCAGAATGTCATCCACACCTCGTTTTAACTTTCCGTCCCTGAACCTCTCATGTATGTGGGGCCTCTGACTTTCTCATGTATATGACTTTTCTGTGCATGGCTAGTTTTGTTGGTGGTGCTCATCTGTCCCATGTCAGCTGGAAGAACCTAGAAGGTAGAGGAAAGTTCCGTCCTCCCCACACTTCATATCCCTTCCCCATTCCCTCCCTCATCCCTGAGCCTGAGAGACCCCTTTCCATTTCACAGAAAGAGAACCCAAGGCCCAGAAGAGTGTGGGAGGCGGGGAGAGGTCATCTCCCAGGCCTCGGAAGAAGCCCTAGTGCTCATGGTGGTAGCCAGAGAAACACTCGTATCCTGAGCTCACCTTAGGCCCCCAGCACCCAAACCTCGCCTGTGCTATCGTCTCCTTGAGGACTCAGCCCCTGTGGGTGAGGGGAGTGAGCAACGGGGGGGGGGGGGGGGGGGGGGAAAGGGGGGCTGTGACTTGCCCCCTTTTTGGGGGTGTGTTTTTCGGCCCCCCCCGGGGGAATTTTTTTTTTTGATTTTAAAAAAAAAGAGGGGAAAAAGAAAAAAAAAAAA